AGGTTTTTTATACAAAGTCGACACCCTTTTTTACCTGGAAAAAGGTCGACTGACCGTCATAAAATTGAAGGGAAATCTTTTTATTTGTTTATATTCATATTTATTTAAACATTATACTTGTTTTTCATCGACTTAGAATTCATCTAACAATATATGCTCTTATTATGCATGCAGTATATACTTTAGAACTTAAATTCAAAAATGATATCCTTTTTATTTAACAATTACGGTTTTCGAGATACGTTACAGTTTCCTTAAAAAAATGTTTTTTATAATAAATTTTAGATATTTGTAATTGTGGAGATTTCTAGATTTTGAATTTATATTCATTTTACTTGAAATTTTAAAATTGCAAAACTTTTGAGCAATAAAAATTAGGTTAGAGACCCGTACTTTACATTTACCGGCTATATTTCGGTGAGGGGCTGTAAATAAAAAAAAGATTTCAATGCTCAATAATCACAATCCATAAACATCAGGATTCAACAGGAGCATAAAAAATCCTTTAGTCAGAATTTACCAAAAGCTTCAGGAATCGTCAAAGTAGTCACAAAACATCAAAATTTCTGACGTTTTCTCTTTATTTCTGATTTTATTTTTAGCAGGGTAATGTATATTTTTTAAACTTTCTGTAATTAAATATTTTTATTGTTTATACTCCTGCCCTATTGGCCTTACGCACTTCGACAAGAGTCCCCGAGAAATACTTTTTTGGATTAAGCATAACCATTCTACTTTAGAAATTTTCTATATATTAACCTAATTTGCGTCTACAGCCGACTTTATTAGGAGTACTCAATTGCAAAAATTTCGAAAATATTAAAAATGGAGATTCTTATGATAAAATTGATACTGCAGGAATTCAAGAATATGTGATACGATACTTATTGCATTATGCTACTGGGAAAAAACTTAGATAGTAAAAAGTTTGGTTATTTTAATTCTAGATTTAACTTTTAGGGATGTTTTGAGCATTGTAAAGGCAAAAGTTAAACAGGGTGTCTATTATTATTTTTGTTTAACAAACTATCCGGTTTTTCCCAGCTTTGTCCAAATTTTTCCAGGTGTATCTTTTCTCATCAAATATAAATTTTCTTGATAAGAATTAACAATAAATAAAACTACAAATGGCTACAAAAATTCACTTATTTTATGAAAATACTCTTCGACGGGTTTTTGTTTTTACTAATACTTTTAACAGGGGTTCTACCAACTGGAAAAAACGGGAAATATGCAGGAATTTAATTTAATCGGGAAAAACTGTGAATTCAGCCTGCAATATAGGTCTTATTTTAGATTTTAGCAATTATGATACAATTAGTTCGAATTTTACTTTACTCTAAAAACTGGTGGAAATTTTGGATTAACTTATAATACAATAATTAAATTTCTACAAATAATTGACAAAACATTGTTCTCTGCATTTTAATTAATTAAAAATAAATTATTTGATGGTAAAAAGTCAATCACTGATTTAAAATAGTAATATTTTTCTAATGAAATAGTTAATGGTAGCTAAATATTATTTTTTCCGGTCAAATTAAATTCCCCGCTATTTCCCATTTTTCGAGACTGGTCGACACACTATAATTGAATGTATTTGTAGAAACTAAAACCCGTCGAAGACGGGTACGACAGCTAGTAGTTAATAATACCATCGAGATTTTTTTCGGTGTAAAAAATTATAAAAAATAAAAAAATTTAAAAACAAAAAATATATTCAAATAGTGCAATTCAAGACGAAAAAAACCCATATTTTAATTTTAAAATCCGTCAACTAGAACTCGAGAAAAAAATTTGTTAATTTAGCAGTACTAAAAAATTCAATTGTTAATAACTTTTACAAAAAATTTTTTTTTGGCTAATATTTTTAGGGATTCTTCTTAACCATATTAAGAGTCAAAAGAAACTATTTTGGTTCAAAAAGAAAATTTTTTAGTTTTAGGTGATCCGTTTGAGAAATTCTGACCCACCTCTGCAATAACCCGGTTAAAAAAAAATTTTTCAAAATTTCAAAAACTTTTTTTTCCGGGTTTTTTTGGGCAAAAATTTTTCGAGTACATTTTTTTATAATTCGTCTTTTGATTTTGCTTTCCCTCTCCATAACTCCTGTAAAAATGCATTTTTTCAAAAAATATTTGGTGGAAATTTTCATCTTATTAGTACAAAATTTTAGTAATAATTTAAACTTTTTTGGAGCAAAGGCAGATTTTCTATTCTTATTCCGCTATACCCTTTATATTTTCTATTCAGGTAATGAAGATTTGATAATGGATTGTCATTTATAAACTGATTTTATTCTCATCATTCAAAAAAAATTGCCAGTGAAATCTTTCAAAAATGCAGGCTTCACAGTCTGTCCCCTATTTCCCTAAAAGTCCCCTTTTTTAATTTTGGCCCCTAAACGTACCCTATTTTGAAAATTTCCCCTATTTTTTTCTTTTATCTTTTAATGATAAATTCACACCAAATTTGGCAAAGTGCCGTTGAAACTTTTGTTTTGAAAGTTTCAAATCTTGAAATTTTTTATGAAATTTATAAAATTTGTAAGATTAGTATTTTAGTGAAGTCCAGTCTCAATTATTTTTCAAAGTTGGTTGTTTTTTGTAATATTATTTATTATTACAAAAGTTTTAATGCAATTATCTTGATAAATAACAAAATTCTTCACAGAAATTCAATAATTTTTAGGAATTTTAATAAAATTCTTTACAAAATTCAATTATTTTCATAAATTTCAATATTTATCCCAAGAATTTAATTATTTTCAAAAGTAATAAAATTTTTCGAAGAAATTCAATTATTTTTAAAAAATTTCACAAATATCTCGTCAAGAATTCAATTATCTTTACAAATAGCAAAATTTTTCGCCAAAAATTCAATTATTTTCAAAAATTTATAAAAATCTTTGCAAAAATTCAATTACTTTCAAAAGTTTTTTGCATTTCAATAATTTTCAATATTTTGTTTACTATTTTCATAAAATTTGTCAACAGATTTAATTATAGAAAAAACTTTTAGATACAATTCTAGGAAAAGATTCAATTATTTTCATAAATAATAAAATTTCATTTACGAATTCAATTATTTTTAATTGAATCATCGCAGAATTTCAAATATTTTTAATACAATTTTAAATAAATTCCTTGAAAAATGCAATTATTGTTGAAAATTTTATTAAAACTTGAGGAAGGAATTCAATTTTAAGAAACATTCAATTATTCAATAAAACAATGAAATTTGTTGCAATAATTCAAATATTTTCATAAATAACATTTAATTCGTCGCAGAAAGTCAATTATTTTCAAAAATTTTCAAGTAATTTTACAAAAGAATTTAATTAGCTTGATAAACAACAAAATCGCATAAATTCTTCCTATAAAATCAATTATTATAAGGAATTTTATAATAAAATTCTTTTCCAAAATTCAATTATTTTGATAAATATCAATATTCATTACAAGAATTCAATTCTTTTGAAAAGTAATAAAATACTTTGCAAAAATTTAATTTATTTTTAAAATTAATAAAATTCTTCGCAGAAATTCAATTATTTTTAACGAATCTACAAAAAATTGTGAACATTTCAATTATCTTTATAAATGAATAGAAAAATTCGTCGACAAAATTCAGTTATTTTCAGGAATTTGAATAAAATTCATTTTAAAATTCAATTATTTTCATAAATAATAAAATTCTTTGACAATATTCAATTCTTTTGAAAAGTAATAAAATACTTTCCAGAAATTGAATTATTTTCAACATTTTTTTTTAAAAATTCTCGTCAAGAATTAAATTATCTTTATAAATAGATAGGAAAATTTCTTCTCAAAAATTAAATCATTGTCAAAAATTTTTGAAAAATTCTTTTCAAGTCAATTATTTTCAAAAATTTTAATAAAATTCTTTTCATGAATTCAATTGTTTTCAAAAATTATTATTTAAATTCTTCTCAGGAATTCAATTATTTTTAAAAAATTGAATAAAATTCTTCAAAAAGTTTTCAATTATTTTCAAAAATTGTTATAAAATTCTTTAATATAATAAATTTCATTAAACTTTTAATTATATTCCATAAAAGAAATTAAATATTTTTATAAGTTTTTAATTCAATTCTTCGTAAAAATTAAATTTTAAGAAGCATTCAATATTATTTATTTTTGTATTTAAATAATTGATTTCTCGTATAATTATGTAATTTTAACTAACAATTCTGTAGAATTAATTTTTTTGAAAAAGTTTAATTGAATAATAATTGATGTTATTGATTTAAAGTAGAATTTTAGTTAAAAATTCTAGAAAATGTTAATTAAATTGAAATGATACAAAAAATTTTGAAGAAATTACAGTAACAATGTTCTTGTAGAATATTGTTACTCCGAAGACTCGGAGTGATTCATTTCTTTATGTTTCATAATAATATTCTTATGAGTTGTTCAATTTGAAAAGGTTTGAATTTGAAATTTTTGAACATCTTAATTTCAATAAAAAAATGATTAAACATTTATTTTAAATAAAACTATTGATGTTTTCGAATAATTTTACTTTTGAAGAAATTTGTAAATAAATTGAACAGAACATTTTTTTGAGTATCTAATAATTTTTAGAGTGAATCAGAATATTCTTTAGAGTCAGGGAAAAAGTGAAAGTTGTGTTTGGAAATTAGGGAAAAGTCAGGGAAAAATGAAGTTAAATTTTTGTGGGAACCCTGTATAAATAAATTATATTTTTATCTTTATTTAATCAATTTTTATGGTTCCCTAAAAGTCCCCTATTTTTTTATTTTCAGTCCCCTATTTCCCCTAAAATACTTGTTAGGGGCACTGTGAAGCCTGAAAATGTCAGCAGTGTCCTTCAATGTTGTTATATTTTCTTGTTTGGGATGTAAAAATTGTATAGAGTTAACGACAAACATTTAATTTGGGCAGAGAAATTGATGACACTTTTTTTATAGACCAGTAATATTTCCGAAAAGTTTATTTAAAAAATGTACACAAAAATTTTGCAGAAATACATTTATTTAATGATTACATTAATCCGCTTTCTTTACGATACGTGTCTTTTTTGCTGTCACTGGTTTTTGGGATTTCAGCACTGCGCTTGCACGTCGTAGAGCGGCCTGTAAATACAATTTTCAAAAGTTAGAACATCTTATACATATACAACAAATCTAACGTTAATTCTTATAATGCAATTGTCAGATTTTAAATAGAATTAAATTAATATAATTGTGAGTTAAATGAATATAAAATAAATTTCACTTAATTTCTTCTTTACATTCATTGAAATTTTTAAATTGTAGATTTATATTCCATTATCTTAAAAGTTCATACTCGACAAGTTTAAATTTCAATTAACAAATTTTTTAAGGAGGAATGGTATAGAAATTCAATACATTCAGAATCTTTTGATATTTTGGGAAATGATTTGCTTTTATATAATAAAGTTTCCCACCAAATTTCAGAATTTTTCACTAAATAGTTTACAAGTTAAAAATTATTTAATTTAGCATTACCTCTTATGGAGAAAGCACGAATTTGCATGTTTATCATTAAAAATTTAATACTTAAAACGTTCAGAATTTTTTGTAAAAATTGTATCTTGAAGGTCAAGATTTAAGCTTTATTAATCACGAAGGTTCTTTTTTATTCACTAATTAGTTTAAAAGTAATTAATTAGTTTCTGGAAGAAAACTAATTTTATGACAGACAAACAGAGAAAACGTGGCAACACTATATAAAGTCTCACATGTGACAGCTGTTTAGTCCAATAGAACCAAGAGATGGCGCCAAAGGTACCAAAAATGACAAATTTTCATTATTTTTAACCACACAAATGCAAATCATAAGGCTGCGGTTACACCTCTGCAGGCTGCCTGCCTGCGCAGGCAGGAGCAACGAGAGTGAGGGAGAAGTTTGAAGTCACTGACTCTCTTACTCTTGTACATTACCATGACAACCTGCAGGCAGGCAGGCTGCCTGCAGAGGTGTAACCGCAGCCTAACAAACCACACTTGACACTGTTACCAACGATCAAAATACAAACTACTTGCATTGCGACGTTGTCACGATTTTTCGCTCATTACAAATTGTTATTTGACAACGTTTATAATTAATAACATTAATATTATAGCATAATAAGACAAATGTATACGTAATAATAGCATTTTTTTCAAAGTTTGCAATGGAATACTCGATAAATCCGAAAATAATTTTTAGAGAATTTCAGTAACTTTTATTTTCTTAGGTTTTAAATTCGTACAGACAGTAACAAAAATTATTTTCTGCTTTTATAAAAAAATGTGATTTAATAAATTTATTATATTTTCCTTATTTAATATATACTTTTTAATATTCATTGATGTCTACTTTTATGATTTCAAAAAGAAAAACTGCTATATGTAGCTTAAATAACAAAATTACAAATTCCCCTAAACGTCACAAACTTTTATCCCGATTAGGTATACCATTCCTCCTTAATCAGGGTTCGCACGTAATATACGTAGTTTTCTACACGTATATTACTACGTATATTACGTCTTGAATTTTTTACGAAAATATATGTATATTACGTTTTGTCGATATTACTACGGCGCATGCGTAGAACGGGTAAAACGTGCATAACATAACCTCAAATATTTGTAATTCAATAACCAAATTGTTAATAATAACCACAAATTGTTTATTATTAATCATCTGCCTGCGAAGATGAATGTTTTGACTGCAAATTTTCTGCATTGAACGCATTTTTGTCACCCTTTTTTACAGACATTTCTAAAACAATTGACAGACTATCAGAAAACTAATGCTATTTACGTATAATTATTGTATAAAAACCAACATTTAAATTAAAAAAACGTGATATAATTTTATCGCTTAATTATGCAAAGTTTAATAAGTAGGGAAAATTATAAGGTATATGTTTTTAAAGGTTATGTTATGAGTGAACATCCTTACAAAAAAATTAATACGTTAATATTGATATTTGCGGAGTTTATCCTACTGCATTATATAATATTGTAACAAAATTTTTTTTTCTCTGCCGTCCAGATAAATATAAACTATTTTGAAGAAAAATTTATACATATCTTGCGCGCGCCATATTGAAAACGTAATATACTGAATATTTTACTCTTTTTGACGTATATTACGTCGAAAACGTTATATACGTCAAAAACTCTCAAGTTACACGTAACTTCCGAACCCTGTCCTTAATTAAAAACTAGTTATTTCTGAAAAATAATTCTCAAATCATTTTCCTTGAAAATAAGATATTAATGAATTAAATTGCTTAAGGTGGTGTCAAAATCGATTGGATTTTTTACATTGAGTTTCAATAGGAAAATCGCATCGACTTTGACATCCCCTTAAAAATACTTTAAACTTTAATAAATTTTATTACGATGCAGTGAGAGAAATGAAATGTTTCTAAAATTTATGTGAAGCTACATTATTCTATTGATAGAAAAACATACTCAATTTGTAGATTTAAAGCTATTTTATTATGCCCTCTTAGTGAATTTTTAGTATGCATTCCTAACAAAATCTTTCGTTTATAATAAAGATTCTCCTTTCTTAAAAAAGACATGGAGTGGAAAGGTCGAATGTATCGAAAAGTATCGAAGTAAAGAATGGGCAATGAGAATGTAAAATCTTAATAGAAGGGTGTTTTTAAAATTGTTTGTACATGTGAAAGTGGCGCTGCATTCGTATGTTATTTAAAAAGAGCGCGAATATATAAATTTTATTTTTGTTAAGAGAAAGTACACATAATAAATCTTATTTTGCATTGTCAAAAAAACGTCAACATTTCAAATATAAATAAGCAAATTATTAACTGAAAAAATTTGAATATTATTATTAATAAAGTAATGGACTTAGACAATGGACATATAAAAACTAGCACCATAGACGGCCGCTTGCGGCCGTCGGAGGAGCTAGTATAATAAAGAATATATTACCTTGGTAAGATCTACTCGATACTTGTTGGCGGTGAGTAAAGTTTTCAATTTATGAAGAGCTCGTCGATTTCCTGATTTCATTGTACGCCTTACAACAGTTTTAGCTGGTTTTGAAGCCGATCTTGACTTTTTGTATACAACTGTGAAGCCCTTCTTATCTGGCGTGTCAATGACACCCACACTTTTGCGATGGATTAATCCAGAATACCGATAACTACTGAGATTTGTTAAATTGTTTGGTTCCTACAAAATTCAAAAACGTAAGTATTGGAAAAAAATATTACTTAAGACAAAAAAAATTACAGGCCTCGGATTGACTTTAACGATAAAAAAAAGTCGCTTTAGTCGATTAAAAATAGAAAAAAAGTCGTTTATTTAATTTAGTGTTGTCACAAAAATTTTATTTTGTACTTCTCTGATTCTTCACTGATTTCTAAATTCAATTAATCAAAACTTATGTATTATTTTGCTGAATAAATATTTAAATACTTCTTATTTCATTTTTCACAGGAAATAAAATTTTAAAAATTTCAACTTCTGAAATGTAATAATTTCTAAAAATTAAAACTTTAAAACTATAACCCTTCCAAAAATTCAATTATTTTCTAAAATTTTTAACTAAACTTCATCTCTAAATCAATTATTTATTATCTATATTAATTTTTAATAATTTTTCAAAAGTTCTTCGAGAATTCAATTATTTAAATACAAAAATTCAATTTTTTACAATAATTCAAACCGTTTATTTTTCTTTTTAAAGATATTAAGGTGGAATAATTTCAAAAATTTTAATAAGAAATTCGTAAAATTAACTTTTTAAAAATATTTCTACATACTTTTTGAAAGACAATAGTTTTACAATTACACACAATTGAAAAATTTTCAAAAAATTGAAATTTGGTGAAATCTTTGAAAAAATAATTTAAATTTAGTAAAATCTTTGAAAAATAATTGAGTTTTTAAAAAATATAAAAAAGATAATCAAATTTTTGAAGTAATTATAAATGATTTGTCAAAAATTCTAAAATAGTAAATTTTTAAAAATTTTAATTTACTTTGTTCGAAGGTAATTGAATCTTAAAAAATTATGATAAAACAATACTAAGAAATAGTTTTTTATAAATATTGTAATGTAATTTTTCAAAAATGATTGACATTTTTGTCATAATTTAAAAAAAAATCTTTTGAAGAATTTTAATTAAAAATTTTGAATATGATTATTTTCTCCAAAATTAAAAAAATAATTCTAAAAAATGTTAATGTTATTAATTTGTGTATGTATTTGAATTTTTTTTAAAACTATTTTAATATTATTATATTCAGAACCTAATTTTCATTATTTCATTTTTATTGAATTTTATTATTTTATTTATTATTTTATATTATTTTATTGACTTGAGGATTATTTCTTAAAGTTTTTGAGAATTCAATTATTTCCAAAACTTTCAGTTGAAAATTCTGTAAAAGTTAATTTTAAAAAATTGTAATAAAACACTGGAAAAAATAATTTATTTTCAATTAAATTTTACAAAATTTCAATTATTCAAAATCTATTTAATTGTATATTTCGAAAATTTAATTAGAAAAATTATTTCGGAGTGAGTAAACCAATTGCAACGAAACTTAGGAATTTCAACCTACACATAAAAAGAAATGTTTCCATAAAATATTACGTCAAAATATTCAGTATTTTTTGACGTAATATTTAGTGGAAACATTTCTTTAAAAAAAATTCTTGAATTTCATTGCAATTAATTTACTTACTCCGAAATATGAGAATTTTCCCTTGAAGTCGCACAATTACGAAAAATTTTACTTTTAAAGTTATTAACAGTCAAAATGCAAAAAGACATAATTAAGATAATAAATGCTTAAATCTTTCACTTGTTAAATTAATTGGCAATACAGGTTTACATAGTTAATGTAAAATATACTATATTCTTTTAAAAGTATTTCTTTTAAATTTTTTACAAGTATTTCGGTACCTAAAATCCTTATTCTAAGACAATGTTTTCATAAGATTTATAAATAAAAATGAAGAATTTTGAGAACTTAAATGAAAAATTTTTTTAAAATAAATACTTACAGTTGAAAAAGGCTTGTTGATTGTACGTTTCTTCAACAGAAACGCATTATTGTTTCGAATTATCATCCACGTTAAGTGCGACATCTTGATTTCCTAAAAATGAAAAAAGTTCAATTAATTTTTACGTAATTAATTTATTTTTACTGTTCGAAATTTAATTAGATCTTTCTTAAGATTACAAGATTCAATTCAATTACAATTTAAATACAAAAATATAAATAATTTTATTGAATAATTGAATGTTTCTTTAAATGTAATTCTCATAATGAAGTTTATCAACAAATTTTTAAATATAATTAAATTCTTTCGACGAATTTTTATAAAATTTTTAAGAATAATTACATTTTTCGAGGAATTCGATTAGAATTGAACTAAAAATAATTTATTGAAATTCTGCGATGAGTTTTATTGTCTATGACAATAATTGAATTATTGCGAAAATATTTATAAAAAATTTGTAAATAATTGAATTCCTGTGAATTTTTATTATTTATGAAAATAATTAAATGTTTTCTTAGAATTTTTTTAAAATTATTTAATTCTTTTGGAAAAATTTTATTAAAATAGTAGATTGAAACCTTTTGAAGTTGATCTATTTATGAAAATTATAAACGCAACTCTTTCAAAATTCAATTAATTTTGAATGATTTAAGTAAAATTATTCATTAAATAATTTATAAGTAATAATTTAAAAAGAAATTATTGTCAGAAATGGAAAAAATTAAAGGCTTTGTATGAGGGTTTTTGTTCTTCTAGAAAAAACTATTAATAATAATTTCTTAATTACTAATAATAATATTTGAATTAGTTTAATGTTAATTAATTATTTTTCTACAGGTCTGTATTCTACTGAATGAACCACCTTATAATTTATAAAATTCTTTATGATTACACTTTGAAAAAGATTTCAAGAAAAGAAAAACTTGTTTATTTTTTATTACAAAAAGATGAAAAAAGGATTTTGAAATCACAAAAAAAGGGGAAAAGGTGACAAATCGTTAAAAAAGGCGAAAAAGGTGCCAAAATTGAGTAAAGGGGAAAAGGAGACAAACCGTGATGCCTGCTACCAAGAAATTTAATTGAAAATAATTTCATTCTTTAGAAGACTTTTATTAATGTTGTTGAACAAAAATAATATTAATTAGTTGATAGGTGAATTTTTAAAAATTTGAAACACTTGATAGTTTATTTATATTTTTAAACTATAGCTTTAACAACTATAAGTTAATTAGAAAAAATCATTTTAATATCAATAATACAATTGTGTATTAAACAATTTATGAAATAAAGCAAAAAATATGACAAAATGATAAATTTTTTAGTAAAAATTTGAATTTTCTAAACCTACTGGTTTATTAAAAATATAAGAATTAAATTATAAATTGTTTCCAGTTAAAAATAATACGAGACAATTTTGCGAAAATTGTGATTTTTTCTTTAATAAAAGTGATTAATTAATACTACAATAATTAAAACCGTGCATTTAAATTTAATGCTGTGATAAAAATGAATAAAAATTCAATGCATTTTACTTAAAATAATCAAAATAAATTATAATGTACATAATATTTATACTTCAAATATGCCAAGTTCAATGCGAAAAGAAACCAACAATTTTGAGGTTATGTTTATATTCTGTAAATCACGACTTGAAAATTACCATAAAGTATTATTTATTGATTACAACAATATGTCAAAAATGTTTTCAACAGAAAATAAAAAACACTGAATGAAAAATTATTGCATTTTTTTTAAATAATATTATTTCTAGGTATGATGAATCGACGTGCTATATTTTCTCTTTCATCCAATAAATTACACCGGATGTCATGAAATATTTCATTGAAATGCAATTTTTAGTTATTACTTTTAATATTAAAATAAAAATATAATGAAATTTAGCACTAAAAAACGTAAATTTATTAATTTTATTTACCTTTAATACTTTAACGCAACACACCACGTTGAGTAAAATCTGTAAAGAGCTATACCAAGAAAAGCATGTGATAGAAATAAAAATTGCACTTAGATGGTAAACATACAACGAATTTTTGTTGCACTGCAAAGTAAAGGTGCGGTCACACCTGGAATTGATATTATGAAACGGCCACAGTTCTGCCGCATGCCTACAGGTTGTCATGGTAACGTACAAGAGTAAGAGAGTCAGTGAATTTCAATTTCAGGCTGTGTTTACATGTTTGCGTTCGAACGCTGTATTGTTCCAATAATGGAGCATTTACATCTTCGGTCAAAGTTATCCTGTATGGAAAATCTATATTGGAGTAAGAAAGATAGGCTGTGTATCTGTTTCTCTTACTCCAATGTGGATTACACAACTTTAGGTTGAGTCCACAATAGCACCTTGAACGTAACGTAAACGTAACGAAACAATAACTTAGCAATTTACGTTACGATTACGTTCCGTTCAAGGTGCTATTGTGGACTCAACCTAATGCCTTGACGGAATTTTGAAAAGTCGTGTTATTTCTATCAAATATTCTTAGTTCGTGACGACGAATGTTTATTGTCCAGAACAGAAAACCCACATTGGAGTAAGAGAGACAGATATACACAACCTGTCTCTCTTACTCCAATGCAGATGTTCCATTCTGGACAATTTTCACCGAAAGTTTAAGGGAGCGTTCAGGCCTCCGCATGCAAAACTTTTGCATGCAGGTTGCTATAGTAGCGTTCAAGAGTGAGAGAGATAGGATAATTTCCTATCTCTCTCACTCTTGAACTTACGCCTCTGTCATAGGAGAGAGAAAGACAAGAATGGTTTCTCCAAAAGTCGTGTGATCGCACCCTAAAAAGAACAATTCTGCTAAATTGCCCAACCTTGTTTAAAAAGAGATAGCAAAATGGCTGAATTTTAAAGCAGGTTGTACAAGGTTTGTTAAATGTAATTGAAAATAAGTAGGGTAATAAAAAGAAATGAATTTTATGTATAAATTTACTTTATATGTGAAAATAATAAAGAGTTAATTTTGTCAAGATTACAAATATGGCTTTTCGTAAAGTGAAGGGAAATTTTGAACGAATGTTCGATAAAAATCTGACAGATCTCGTAAGAGGGATAAGAAACAATAAAGAAAATGAGGTATTTAATGCTTTTTCAATATGTTGTTTTTTATATTAGTTTTTCAGTATAAAACAAAAATTGTACAATGTAATTGAATTGTTTAATAATTCTAAATATTTTATATAATTATTTTCTTTTTTTAGGCAAAATATATTGCACAGTGTATGGAAGAGATTAAACAGGAATTACGGCAAGATAATATTGCTGTCAAGGCGAATGCTATAGCAAAATTAACTTACGTATGTGATAAAATTTATTTAACAATACTTTTTAGATTTTTTTATCAAGTTTAATTTTTTTCCAGTATTTTATAATATGTTTTCCAATAAGTTTCATTACATAAGGAAATGAAAAAAATTTATGATAATTTTAATAATACACCACTCGAATTGAAATGAACGATTGAAAATAGAGTAATTAATTAATTCGACAGCGTGTAAAAATATTAATGAGAAAGATGAGAAAAATAAGAGATACAAGCTAACCTGTTTGTTAAAAAAAACAATAAACACTGACTCCAATTTTGGAGGCTCATGAATAGGCCCTAAATTCTCATTTTATCAAATTTTATTTCACAGAATGTCTGTTTTTAAATTTTTATTTAATTGACTTTAAATTAACTCATTTTTTTACTGAACAGAATTTTTTATATAATTACAATTTTTCGAAATGAAACTGAAGTTACCAACGTTGATTCAACAAAAAAATAAAAAAAAAGTTTTCTCTAAAAAGTTGGCTCAAAATTTCTGAAGCGTGCCACTAATTTTTCAATGGCGATATTTTAATATTGCATATCAATAATTTTATAGTATTTTCGTACCAAAATATGACCCCAAAGTTGATTTTGCAAAATTTTAATTTTTTTAATAGTTATTGTTTAAACAATTTTTACCGATCAAATTATTGAAAAACTTTTTTCTAGCGTTCTATTTGATGGATTTTAATAAAATTTCTTATGAGTAATATACAATAATTATACTTTCGAACAAAAAATATTTGTTAGATTTTGTTCCTAATTTGTTTAAAATAGCAACAATTATTATAAATAAATAGAAATAAAATAAACTTCTCCGCCTAATTTCATAGTTTTTCTGGTCAATTATGATTCCCTGTTTTATCACGAGTATTTAAAAAAAATAAAAGTCAGTATATTGCATTGAGTCAAAAGTTATAATTTTATTTATTTATTTATTTAAAGAAATCAAGCTCCTAGGGCTGTTAGCCCACCAAGGAACTATATACATAAAATTAAACCTAATTACGTAATTTGAAAATATAGTAGTAAAGAATACATTATGGTGGCATACATTACTCTCAATAAACCTCTATCAAAAGGAACAAACAAAAAAAGAGAAATAATATATATATATATATATATATATATATATTAACAATAAACCAATAATTAATATCAAACTAATGAAAGAAAACATAAAGATATCGTAAAGTTACCAGTACGTAATATCAAAAAATAATTTCTTAAACAAAAATTGGATAGGCGCTTCCCTAATACTATTCGGTAGTTTATTCCACAGTCTTGGGCCTCTTACAATGAAAGATCTTTGCCTCTTACAAGTACGATGAAAAGGTATTTTCAAAACATTTTTCCTCTCTCGAAGTCTAGTAGAATTAAATTCATTATTGTTAATAAAATCAAAAAATTCATAGAGGTAAGATGGAGTTTTGCTATTGATAATAGAGTATAATAAATTGCCAATAAAAAATTGCCTTCTAGTCGCCACAGTGGGATAAAAAGACAAAATTTGGTTTAAATTAACTTTTAGACCACAATTTTTAACCAAATTAAAAAAAAAAATTTCTCTCTAACTAAGAACTAAATTCTAAAAAGATTTGTGAAAGTCGATTTATTAAATTTTGTTTTATAAATTTTTAATATTAATGTAAAGTGTAAAAAAATGACTTAAACTTTTCAATATTTGAAACAAAATTTTTTTTACATATTCAATATTGAATACATTTTATTTCTGGGGTGTGTAAGTAGTAAAAAAATTGTTTCTAAGACTACAAATTGTTATAAACAAATTAAATAAACAATTATACTCTAGGCGAAGATAGGACTAAAATAATTTGTTTATCATTTTTGAGCAGAAATGAATCAAATTTATTACGATTAATGTTTCTTCTAATAACAGCCTAGAGATTATCCTCATGAAAATGTTATTTCACAAATAACTTAATAATTTTTATAAACAAATTATATAAACAATTACACTTTGTGCGCATTTATGCCTAAAAGAAATTTTTTCCAAAAATAAATTTATTGCAGCTTATTGCAATTTAACTTTTTTTAATGAAATTGTTGTTTTGCGATAATTTTTCTTAATTATTTAAACAATTTTAATAAACAATAGCATTTTATGAACATTTTTGGACAGAAATAAATCGAATTTTTACAATTAAGTTTTCTTCTAAGCTGCCCAGAGATTATCATCAAGAATAAATTATTTTTTAAACATAAGGATAATTTCTAGTCGATTTAGGAGAAACATTAATTGTAAAAAATTTTATTCACTTGTGCCCAAAAATGTCCTTACAGTGCAATTGTTTGTTAAAATTGTTTAAATAATTAAGAAAAATTATTGTAAAACCTAAATTTCTATAAAAGAAAGTTTAATCGCAATTAGCTGAAGTAAATTTATAAAAACAAACAAATTATTTTTAGTCATATCTTTGCCTAGATTGTAATTGTTTATATAATTTTTTATAACAATTTGTATTATTAGAAACAATTTCTTACTACTTACACACCCCAGACATAAAATGTATGCAGTATTGAGTATGTCAAAAAAATTTTGTTTAAAATATATTGAAAAGTTTAAAAAATTGGACATGTGCGAGTTGTACTCGCACTGCAATGGCGGGTTCCGTACACAAATATTAAAACAATACTTTCAACATTTATCGGTAATTGGTAGAATTAAAATAAACAATTTCTAAAATATATCTAATATTGTAAACAATAATAAGCAGAGGAACAAAATTTTCAAAATTATAGTTCCTCTGCTTATTATTGTTTACAACATTAGATATACAATACTTTAATTTTTCTTAGTTATTTTTTTTTATCAAATGATTTTAATATATTTTTTTAATTGTTTATTTTAATTCTACCAATTACCGATAAATGTTGAAAGTATTGTTTTAATATTTGTGTACGGAACCCGCCATTGCAGTGCGAGTACAACTCGCACTTGTCCAATTTTTTTTTATTTTTAGTTAAGAAATTAAAGTCAGAAAACAATCTCTCATTTATTCTCTTAAATTTTCACTCTTCCTTAAAATATTTAATGCCACGTGTTTAAACTAAAAAACAATTTTTTTTTTTGAAAAAAAAATTAAAAAATAATTTTTTTTGATTTTTTTTCAAAAAGTTTCTTAAATAAATTTTTTGTCGTCAGACTGTAATAATACACTAGGATACCAATTTTCAGCTCATTAGGTCAAATAATGTAAAAGTTAGGAAAAAAAAATTTGTTTTTTAAATGTTTTAGTTTTTCCTTGACAACGCTATGGCGAATAGTATTAATATTACATATCAAGTTCTCTATATTTTTCCTATAATATTCGAGTAAAAATACACCAGCATGCAAAATTTCAGCTCTCCATGTCGAATAGTTTAGAAGTTAAGGGGGGGGAATGGTCACTTTTTATGCATTTTTGGCCAAAAATCTTGTTATTTCCTTGACAACGCTATGCCCATCACGTCCAATCACATTTGCTATATTTTTCCTGTAATCTACGAGTGAAAATACATATCTGGACCAAATTTGAGCTCTTTAGGTCAAATAGTTTAGCCGCTAGGGGGGGGGACACGATTTGGCTACGGACACAAGAGTTTCACCAATAGGGTTCCGCCGTTACACCGTAGGTGTACGGAACCCTACAAATTATTTTTTTTTCACTTTACATTAACATTTAAAAATTTATAAATCATAATTTAAAAAATCGACTTTCACAGATCTTTTTAGAATTTAGTTCCGAGTTAAATGAAAAAAAAATTTTAATTTGAAAAATTGTGGTCTACTAAAAGTTAATTTAAACTAAATTTTGTCTTTTTATCCCACTGTGGAGCGCAGCGAGCGCGGTAACAAAAATATTAATAACTTTTGACCTAATGCAATATACTGACATTTTTTTAAATACTCGTAAGAAAAAATACGAAATTAGGCGGAGAAGTTTATTATATTTCTATTTGTTTAAATAATTCTTCCTTTTTTAAACAAATTATGAACAATATCTTCAGTTTCATTTTTTTAATAAGAAACATTTTTTTCAAGCAAAGTAAAGTTTTAAAGTCGAGAGAAAAAGTTATATTACCTTAGTTTAAAAAAATTAATGATGTTTGTTAATTTATTTAAAATTTTTGACAACTTTTACGAAACTGCGATAAACTTCAGGAGCCGCAAATTCTTTAATTTACTTTTTTATTAACAAAATGATTTATCAAGATACTAAATATTTTTTCTTAAATAGTATAACTATAATAAACTAACAATTTATCGAAGAACCAATTAAAAATATAAATAAACAAATGCTTCGAAGTTTTTTGTAAAGAAAATTCATTTCCTCTTTCCTTTATAATAGAACAACTTACTTTTTTCTGAAATTTATAGAAAAATGTAACTAATAGTTTATCTCAAATTGTTTAAGTGAAAATTGCTGATGCAGTTTTTAATTGTTTATAATCATTAGATTACCATCTCCTAAAAACCATTTTTTTTTAAAATGTGTCCAACACTTTAAAATTCTATATTTTGTTACCCAATTCAAATGTATGTTGTAAAATTAAAATTTACAATTGTTATTAACAATTTTTATAAGCCATTGCAATTTTAAACGTGTTCTCAATGTGCTACAAAAAGCAAATATTTAATTTTGCTCATTTTGCACAAAAAATTTTTTTTATTTATTTACATTTAAATTTACAGTTAAATATAAAAAAAAACAATTTTTTTTTCATAGATAAGCCATTTATTTGTTAAAAAGAAAAAAATTTGTTTATAACATTTGTAATTATTTGTGCTAATAATTTTTTAAAATTTTAAATATTTACAAATTCAAAAGAAACTTGATTATTGTTTATATAATTGTTAATAACAATGATAATTATTAACTGTAAAATAATTGTTTACCAAAATAGACATAAATTACTTAATTATACATAAATTTTAATTTGTCTGCAAAAAAAGAATTTTTTTATGAAGAGGATCAAAGTTAT